CCGAATTCCCATGCTGGCTGGGGGATTCTGGGAGTTGAAGTCCACTCATCTTAAAGTGGCCAAGTTTGGACAACACTGCCTTAGAAGACTGGAAGCTCAAGAACTGGGAGAAGTTCTCTCTAATGAGAAAATGGACCCACCACATGTCTGCCCCCCAGCTGAAAAGGAGATACTGTAGATCCACCACTATCGATGCTGAGGAAACATGCTTACTGATGGGCTTCTGACCCTGATTCATAATGCTGGTTATTGCCGACAGAGCCCCTTTGGTGGTAGGGTCATGTTGTATCAGACTCCCCCTGGTCAGGATTTAATCGGCCCATCTGGACATCTCAAGAGGGTCTATTGAGACTTGCTCCCACCCTACGTGAAATCGGAGGAATCTGGACCGGGGAGGAGGCCTCTTTGTCATGTCCCCATGCTCTGGAGTTTTTTTACCTGCAGAAATTCATGCAGCTCTCTTCCTTGTACAGAATAAGGAAAATGGAGATATGCAGGACGGCAAAAGGGGCTGAAACGTTTTTTAAGTCCAGTAGGACAAGATAACATTCGGAAGTGGCTCAGGCAGACACCTCCCTAATTCACTGAACTATAAGAAAGAGGAGGAGGTCCAGCACAATCAGATTTGCAAGATTCTGTTCTAGTCGGTCTCAATAAAAATAGTTTTAGCCTTCCAGTGGAGTTGATTTCCTGGTCTAGTTTACCTGGTAGGGATGACACTTCTAGTGTTTCATAAAGCACTATTCCGTTGGGTTTTTAAACTTAAGTTTAATGTTTGGGGACGTTGTTTGGGAAAAGAATTCTAATTTATTTGGCATATTATGATTTATTCATTGAAAGCATTTATTTACAACAATGTGACTCTGGGTGATATACAAAAACTAATATAAAAACCAAAGACAAAATAATTATACTAGCGAAAAATGGATACAATCATTAATAAGTGATCAAGGACTCAAATGTATTAAATGTCATCAGAAGGGAATTCTACAACTCAGCTGTATGCCACCCAGAATCTTTAGACTGGGGCAGGTTACCAAAACTATAAAACGCATAATAAATAAACTAGAGACCTGGAGCTGCTTGTAAAATGGTGCAAAATCATAGTGTGGAATTGCCCCCCATTGGATCCCCTCCTCGTTTGCTTAGCCTTCTGGGAAATGGATGAATCTTTGACCTGAATCCAGAAATACATATATTATGACTGTTCCTCCATGTGGAGGGGTACTCTACCTTTATCTTACTACACACTGAAGATAACCAGCATGGAGGGCTACTGTTTTTATGCTCTGTAGTTTTGTGGGTGAGGAAAGGAAAGGGTGTTTTCTACCAAATCAACCTTTGATCTGAAACACGGCCCCTCTTATTCTTATATTTTTGCCTGTTCCTTTTTGTTCTGGCAACCACACTGAAAGCAAATAAAGAAAACAGTATGCTGGTGAGCGTGTGTGTGGGGGAGAAGGCAGCATAATTTTGTGGTTTTACTTGGAGAGAGAAAAAAACAAGAGAGTGGGAGGTAAAGGGATGGTGGTGGTAAGCATCTAATTTATTTTTAAGTCTGGAAGTGGAGAACGGCAGAAATCATGGGTGGGTGAGATTTTACACCATGCTCGTTTGCTGGACCATGCTTGAAGGGGAGGGTGCGAGTGAGCAAAGCACAGCGAGAGGAGTTTCTTTTGAAGTATTTTAACGTTACTCACAAGATATATGTTATGACGCCTACAGACCACATATCCACTTCAGGGCCATATGGTGAGCCATGGAGAATTTCAGGGGCTAAAGGCATTTGAAAAATAAACAGAAGTCAGAATCGAGAGAACGGAGTTGGCAGACATATTTTTTCCCTCTCCCACTGTGACTCTCTTACCCGCTCATCCCCTAAGCGCAACTTTTATCAGTGAAAATTCACACTCCTTCATGGGGGATTGGCAATTTTCCTGGGTGTTTTCCAACCTGACACTTGTTCTCCTGCTTTTGCAAACTCACGGGAAAGGAGAAGAGAGTGGCATGTTATTATTTGGCCACTTGTCCCTGATGGTCCTTTGAAGCAGGAAGGATGAAGCTGAACATAGCTGAAGCCCAAATTATCTGCACAGATGCCTCCTTCTTCAGGGTCAGGATATTTGGTAGGGCTACCAAAATGGGGATGCTAAAGCCAGAAGACCACTAGATGGTAGAAAAGGTCCTGAAACTCTCTTGGTTGCCATCTAGTGGTTGTCTGAATGTTTCCAGCCCAGATCCTTTAGGCCAGGTAGACATTACCTTGTTTAAGGCAGGGTTCCTCAACCCTGACCACTTGAAGATGTGTGGACTTCAACTCCCAGCCAGCCATGCTGGCTGGGGAATTCTGGGAGTTGATGTCCACACATCTTCAAGTGTTCAAGGTTGAGGATCACTGGTTTAAGGCACCTTTCCACCAGCTTTGTAATGTTCCTCCAAATGGGCCTTCCAGAGGTGGACACTTCAGCATGGCCATTGCTGAGAATTCTGGGAATTTCATACCCTCATCTGGAAGATGCTCCAGTTGGGGAAACCTAGTATAAATAGGTATATTTATTCCAGGAAAGTTTCCTTAAGGTTTTCTGCTCCTTAGAGAATGGGCAGAGGAATGGCTGATCTGAGATGGGATGTGGAAGGTCAGTTGCCCCCCCTTGGGGGCTTCCATGCTGAGGGGGCACTAGAAACTGAGTCTCCCCACTCCTAGTCCACCTCCTTCACCACTGGCCCCATTGGCTCTTGGGATGGGGGGGTTGGCCCAAAATCCCCCATGAGCTTCCACAGCTATGGGAGACATGAACCTGGATCTCCCCACTCCTAGTCCAATACCGTCACCACTAAATCACCCTGGCTTTTGAGAACCCAGTGTTACAGGACCTGTAAACTGATGAGGGAGCCAGTTTGGTGTAGTGATTAAGGCACCAGGCTAGAAACTGGGTGACTCTGAGTTCTAGTCCTGCCTTAGGCACGAAGCCAGCTGGGTGACTTTGCGCCAGTCCCTCTCTCTCAGCCCTGGGAAGAAAAAGAAGGGAAAACCACTTCTGAAAATCCTGCGAAGAAATCTGCAGGGATTAGTCCAGGAAGTTGCCAGGAGTCAACAGTAATTCAAAGGCACCCCCCACCCCCCAAAAAAAATTGATGAGGGGAAAGCTTTCTTCTATGAAACTAAATTCCTACAGGTAGCTAGCTGATGTTCAGAAGACAGTGGGTGAGGCTAAATTAAGAATGAGGGGAAAGCTTTCTTCTATGAAACTAAATTCCTACAGGTAGCTAGCTGATGTTCAGAAGACAGTGGGTGAGGCTAAATTAAGAATTCCATAACGAACATGATATTATCACCACCATTCTGGAATGGGAGGTTGGAAGCAAAATATCCATATCTCTATGGGTGTAGAAAGAGATCTGGTAACTCAGTGCAGGAATGCTTAAAGGTTACAAAGATTTGCTATAGTCTTTAGAAGGGTAAACAGGCTGCACCCTTTTCTCTAGGGAAAATTTGCCAGAACAATCATTAAATAAGGCTAAGGGTAGAAAGGCAACAAGAGGTAAACTGAAATATTTCATAGCAGTGTTTCTCAACCTCAGCCGCTTTAAGATGGGTGGACTTC